AGGCTCGTGGGGACGGGGAGGTATGATTGACGTACTCTAACCTTTGGCACCAAATGAAGATGAATGATCAGCTTCATGACCCGGCCATTTTAGCCCTACATAAGCAGCTCCATATACAAACCAATCAGGAAGTTGGGTTGCCTCACAGCTGGTCCAGACGTGGTGACGACAGAGCTTCATGTCCTTTCAGGAATAGAACCCCAGCCGTCCAAACAGTAACTGATCATTTTCTTGAATGAACTTGGCCAATAACTTCATGGAGTAGATTTCTTCTTCAGATGGTCAAGGAAAGTGTCAAGTTACTGGGTTTAAGAAGTGAGATATTTGAGTGCTCAAGGTGGTAACTGTGAAGTTAACTGTCTTCGGGGGGAATCTGACGCCGTATAGACTGGTAAATCGTTACCTACGTTTCGGAGGAACCAGACTAGTCAAGTATGAGCTGTTATAAAGGTGTTAACAGACAATACTTCATCTTTTCCCGCGTATTAATAACAGCTGGGATCAAAACGCCAACACAAGAGAAGTCAGAATTGCTCATACATACGGCGGCAAAACAAGTAATGCAGCACTGATAAATGTGACGGCAGGAAGAAACTGCAAACTCAAGAAATACAAATTTAACTACATATCATCACAAGTAGTCAAGAAACAAGAAAGGTAAATATCTGTTGAGTTAGGCCCGCAATATTATCGAGATGCGTGCAGAAACACATCTGGAGGTCTCCGCGTAAAACGTCAGCTATTTAACAACCAATTTTTAACCAAGTCTCACGTAGACCTGGTTCTCTGAACGTCATTTATACCATTCATTAATCAGATGGACCAATAAAAAATTAGCAGCCACGTTTTAAATTTGAAAATCCAAAAAGGCGAGAAGGATCTCTGAGCTTATAGGAGAGTTGTACCACCAGACGCCCTTAGGAACTTCCGGGGCGTGGCCGCGGCAGTCAAAACAAACTTTTTCATTTAATAAAATTCAAGAAAGTAAACATCGTCTTTCTAAATTGTACTTATTCGCAACTCTATACACCGTGAAATATTCGTAACCATAACAGGGAAGTTCACACAATTTCAAAGAAATTTCTTAAGTGTGGTGTAAGGGCCGCGCCATAGCTCAAGCGGTTAGTCGCTGGCTTCTCACGCCGCGGCTCGGGTTCGATCCCGGGTCTGATCAAGAGGGATTTGTGGTAGACAAAGTGGCGCTGGGGCAGGTTTTCTCCGAGTACTTCGGTTTCCCCTGTCAATCTTCATTCCCCCAATTGCTCCACAAGCACCCTCACCTATCATCTGGGGCTGGTACAATAGGCCAGAAGTGGCCTAGTACAAGGGACTTAGTCCCACCCCACTAGCATTAAAAAAATACGTGACGTGTTACAAAATGTTATTTAGTGTAACTATTCAAAGACTGCAATTAACGTGATAATTCGGCTTACGAAACTACATCGACATGGTTAAGAAAGAGTGCCTTCCAGTATTGTTCGGTACACCATTCATTTTCCTTTCACTTGCCTTCAATTGTACCAGCATTAAGTTGCGCAAATCCCGTTAAGTTACCATGCAATACTGAAGATACTTTCCCGCGTACTCGAACCCGATCTTCATTACGTATGCAATCAGTTTCATCTTGCCAACTTAATCACAAATCGATGGCCAGGAGAAAGACGCAAAAGGTCGAGAACAACCTTCATGGCGAAGGCCATCCTGATCTGCCAGACAACACTGATACATAAGTGCACTGTTCCTCCTTGGGATGTCGACTTGATTTGACTTAACGTTGGTGTGTAAGTGGGAGGAAACGATCTGCCAAGTTCAGCACACCATCTCAAGGTCCGGTTGCGAAAATAAATTAATTCTCTCATGACATCAGCATAACTGTAATTACGTATGTCACTTTATGTGTTACTTACGTATACGATTTCTAATTTGTATTCAAGAGCGTACTTCAAAACACAGAAACAATACACCGGACAGGCATATCACGAACCAACTGCACAGTCCATTCCCTTCATGGAGAAGGAAACGGGGTATCCTGGTTACTCGGTAATACGGGAACAGTCTAAATTCGAAAGGCATAGAATTCGGTCCAAACCGTCGCCATTAATCAACGTAAAAGGTGACACTCTCCCTGTGCTTAATTATTTTTTTTATTGCTAGTGGGGTGGGACTATGTCCCTTGTACTGCGGCCACTTCTGGCCTGTTGTACAAGCCCCAGATGATAGGTGAGGGTGATTGTGGAGCAATTGGTGGAATGAAGATTGGCAGGGAAACCGAAGTACTCGGAGAAAACCTGCCCCAGCGCCACTCTGTCCACCACAAATCCCACTTGACCAGACCCGGGATCGAACCCGGGAAGCCTGCGACTAACCGCTTGAGCTATGGCGCGTCCTGTGCTTAATTGACTAAGCACCACAGTACAACTATTATGCTTTTGGACGTTATCCGTCTTGTCTTTATCAAAAAAAAACCGTCCTGTTCATTTTTCAAAATACATCGTTTCCAGACTGGATTCTGTCTCCGTCTTCAGGTAAAACCTAGTCAGTTGGGCCCAATCGATAGAACTAGCCCCTATCCGGAGACAGAATCCAGTATCCGAAACGTTGTGTTTTGAAAAATGAACAAGACGGTTTTTAAATAAGACAATGGATAGATACTATAGGGTTCTGACGATGCTGTATAACACACAGAGATACTGGGTTTTCAGACTTTGTCCTAGTGATTGAGGCTAGCTCTTTCTAACGGACCCAACAGAATAGGTTTTTTCCTTCACCTGAGGACGGAAACAGATCCAGTTTCCGAAATGTCGTGTTTTTATTAGTTATCTTAAAAACCAGGATGATGGATAAAGTCCAAAAACCCAATATATCAGTGTGTTATACACCATCGTCAGAATCCTATAGTAACTACTAAATGTGCTTATTACGCCATTTGGGCATTAGATCATTGCTTTTTAGGTAGAATACATAGGCCGAACTTATGTGTGCTTATTACTGCAACAAAAAGCTCAGTACAATAAATGAAGTATGAGCTGTAAATTTCGTGGCACACATATCATTCTCGGGTCACACACTTTTGGGGACATTGGGTTACTACATCAAAATCCATTCGAGTTACAGCGAATGGAATATATTACGTACAAGGCACATAACGTGTTGGGGTGAGAGAAGGGAAGGGAACAAGTTCAAGGAAGAAAGTTGTCTTCTGGGTTTAGGCACCGTGTATTCTTCGTTTTGGCCGACGTTTCGNAACGTCGGCCAAAACGAAGAATACACGGTGCCTAAACCCAGAAGACAACTTTCTTCATTGTCATCGCCGTGAAAACCTCAAAACTTACAAGTTCAAGGAAGTTAAATCTTTATGCAAGACAGGTTTCATTTTCTAGAAAAGGAACTCAGTAGCTTAAAACAGGATCCAAGGAAATTACTCTTGACGCGAGGCAGCTAACATAAACAATTAAATCCGACGAGTTGCTACACTAATTACCATACCGCTGTAATATTATGGGATTCAGTTTTCCTTGTACAGACACGATCTCCGAACTCAATCTCGAAATTCCACATATAGCATTTGTGTGTTAGGTCTACAAATATGACCACATACTCGTACTTTGTAGCTGATTCTGTCTAGACAATTCTTCCTGAGTTCCTGAACCTATTCTGACAATCAATTTTGATGAAACAGAACAATCTAAGTGGAAGCCTAATGATTAAAATATAAAAAAACTATAATTTTACCTGGTGTTTTACATGGCCGTGAAACTTAAGTCTTGCACTCTAAAGGAAGAATACATATACATAATATTTCTGAGAACAGACTATTGAGGACAATATTTGAACCTAAGGGAGAGGAAGTAACAAAAGGCTCGAGAAAATTACTAATTCGCACATTTCACAAGATATTATTACGGCGATAAAATCAATGAGTATGAAATTGGCGGGACATGGCATGCAGTAAGCGCGAGGGAGATGAGAAACACGTACACAGTTTTCGTATAAAAGCAGGAAGTGATGAGAATACTTGCGACAAGTTAAGTGTGGGATCATAACGTTAAAATGTATATGCAGAAACAGCGTTCAACTGGCCTAAGATAGGGCCAAGTTTCGGTCTATTGTGAACACTAGTTCCATGGAAGGGGGTAATGTCTTGACTGGCTAAACGACTATTACTTCCTCAAGCAAGATTCAGCTCCATGGAGTTATTCTTAGACATTCAAAATACAAATCATGCGTTATAAAAACCGTATTCTTTAATACTGATGTTAAAGATAAAATAAAAATATGTTAAAATTTAACTCAACTCAAAGGCACAACATGAAAACCCCGTAACAATCAAAGCACTGAAGAAAGCAGTCTTCTGGGATTTGGCACCGTGTATTGTGGTGTTAACCGACGTTTCGGAGGAACGTATCGCCTCCATCAGCAGACACAGTCTGCTTTTACCGGTTCTCACGGTCTCTTCGCTTGCAGATTTCTTATATTTTTTCTTCTACCCTGAAGATGGAGGCGATACGTTCCTCCGAAACGTCGGTTAACACCAAATATACACGGTGCCAAATCCCAGAAGACTGCTTTCTTCATAGTCACCGCCGTGAAAGCCTCAAATCTTACAATCAAAGCACTGTTCTCTCTTGATAACACTTTGTACATGCATTAGGAAGAAGTCAAATATTTAAATTCGGATATAAATTGGATATCATGGAGCCTGTACTTTCAGTACTGGTGCCACATGGTCATATATAAACCAAATCCATCTATTTCTGGTAAACTGTCAGACACCTCAAGAGAAGCTATTTTCATACTCCCCGTTAGTTTCCTTTATGTTAATTCATACACTCGTATAAGCCAGCACTGGAGTTTTCATCTTCCGTAACAGGTTCGGATTAAGATTTCACTCTGTGCTGTAGTGAGTTTCCTTACTTACACAAGTTATAAGGCACGTAACAGGCTGCATACCTAGTATTTATGACCCTACAGAACTGTACAGGGTCCGGCAAATCGACCTCCCGTATTTGGTGAGGGCGCTGTGTGAGTTGTGGTGGGGATACGGCGGCGGAGGGGGTATCGATGGATAGAGGTATAAGTGCCATTTGCAGTAGTCACAATGGCGTGGCACGGTGAGCATCGTGCGTTTGTTGTGGAAGAGTATATTCGTAATGGTGAATCGGTGATTACTACTCAGCGAGCATTTCGCATTCGGTTCGAACTTGGCCGACATGATCCTGTTCCGGATAGAAAAACTATTCACGTTTGGGTATCAAACTTTAGAGCAACAGGTTCTGCACTGAAAAAGAAATCGCCTGGCCGACCTCGGACCGTAACAACGCCGGAAAATGTGGCGCGTGTGAGAGCGTCCATCCAGCAATCTCCAAAGCGTTCAGCACTTAAACATGCAGCTGCCCTGGGATTGTCTGACAGGAGTGTAAGAAGAATCCTGCACAGAAATCTACACATGCACCCATACAAAATGATGGTTACCCAAGAATTAAGTGAGAGAGATTTTGAAACTCGCAAAGCTGCGTGTGAGGACATTCTTCAGAACATTCCCTCTGGCGCTGTTTTGATTTCATCTGATGAGGCCCACTTCCACTTGTCAGGTACTGTAAATAAACAAAATTTCCGCTACTGGTCAGCAGAAAACCCTCAGGAACTTCACCAACGACCACTTCACAGCCCTCGTGTGACAGTTTGGTGCGCCGTTGCTGAATTTGGTGTGTGGGGTCCTTATTTTTTCGAGGAAAATGGGCTAACGGTAACGGTTACTTCGAATCGCTACTGTCACATGATCGAGACCTTCCTCCGACCTAAGTTAAACCGGTTTGTTGGGGACCATGAAGAGGGACAAGCCTGGTTCCAACAAGACGGAGCCACAGCTCACACTTCGCGGCGTTCTTTAGCAATTCTGAGAGAGTTGTTTCCTGGACGTCTTCTCTCTTTGCGAGGAGACATCGCCTGCCCCCAAGATCACCCGATTTATCACCTTGTGATTTTTTTCTTTGGGGACACTTAAAGGCGCAAGTGTACAAACATCGCCCCACAACCCTGCAAGCACTTAAGGAGGCAATCACCCAGGCAGTGGCTGCCATTCCACGTGAAATGACACGAAGAACTATGGACAACTTCCGGGAAAGGCTTCGTCAATGTGTGAACAATGGAGGACGCCATTTACCGGAAATAATTTTTAAAACCAAGTAATGTAAAATAGCATCGTATTTGTTGTTCACAAATAAAAGTATTTTTTCTGTATCTTTCTTTGTTTGTTTGTAACGGCCTTTTGAAATACGGGAGGTCGATTTGCCGGACCCTGTATAATCAGTCATCTAGGACCCCAGGCTCATTCGGCTGCGTTTGAGTAACTCCTGGCCTTGGCCGCGCCATAGCTCAAGCGGTTAGTCGCTGGCTTCCCAATGAGGCGGCCCGGTTTCGATCCCGGGTCTGGTCAAGTGGGATTTGGGGTACACAAAGTGGCGCTGGGGTAGGTTTTCTCCGAGTACTTCGGTTTCCCCTGCCAATCTTCATATCTTCATTCGCCCAATTGCTCCACAATCACCCTCACCTATCATCTGAGGCTGGTACAATAGGCCTGAAGTGGCCGCAGTACAAGGGACTTAGTCCCACCCCACTAGCAATACAAAAACTCCTGGCCTCACACACACGTGATATCGAAATACTTCATCGTACTTGGGATACTCTGACGAAAAAAAGTCAATGGAATAGTATGAAAGTTTCACAGAATCACAGAAAATATCCTGCACTACTGTAAGGAAATCCTATTAGCCAAAAATTACGAAACCAGATTCTCCGCAGACATCTTTAAAGAAAGTACAACGCTCTAAACTTTTTTCGTTATCTCCGCTACATGTGGATCACTCCAAGACGAATAAAAAGGCAATACTTACCCAACCATCACCCGTTATGTAAAACTTACATTTGACATATCAAGTAGACAAACTAAAATATAGCAAAAATTAAATATTTGAGATTAAATTTTCAGAGTTATGAGAGCAAACGTTTACCTTCTGGTTTTCATAGCGTAATTTAAATCTGTACTTGTGGAAATACGGCACTCTGGAAGCCTATTTTAGTTTGGACTTTATGTCCTTGAGGAACCGTTTCATATATACAGACAATTTGCAGGAAACTCCAGCCTCCTCACTGCAACGCGTTATGTGAATGTTTTGACTGTTACTGCTAGTGTTAAAAGAAACAGTCCTAGTGTTCTTGTGCCCATATAATTCCTACATCCGATCTGACGTAAACAACCAAGACCACACCCATGTATTGTTTTTACACTAAAAACATAAGATGTACATGCAGAAGTGCTGTTAACTGCTCCTTCTGTGGAGTACAACTCCCATTACTGTGCTGAGCCATATGTAACCGGCCACAGACATTCCAGTCTCTGTTTCTACCATTTCACTCATCCAGTATTAATCTGGTAAGTGTCTGAGGCCTCTTGCGTGCAATGTATGACGTGGATGAATGCTGCATGGTTAAGCCAAGATTTTCCGTATACAGATCCCAGACCCTTGACGGATATACGGAATTACTGTTTGTGTGCACTGTATTTATGTGATTTTGCATTTTGCTTTTATGCCGTCTATGCGCAACTTCGGTTAATATTCACTCGTCGTTTTTCTTCACTGACACTAGTATCAATGAAGTTGCATACAGACGGCATAAAAGCAAAACGCAAAGTCAGATCTGTACAATGAAACAGGATGTTGAAATACCGGGTATTCCTAAAAGAATGGTGGGGTTTCATTGCCGTATATCTCCGTCAGTTTTTGGTGATGAAAATCAAAACGTATACAGACTCAGAACGCGGCTCTCAAATTTTCATTTTGTATATCACGCTCTTTCCTAGTTCCATTTCCGACAGTTAGGAGGCGTGAAATGTAAGAGTGAGGGAGACGTATCAGAGCAGCCCAAGAAAATCATTACAACTGGCCAATGATTCCAATGACTACATTTTCCAACAGGACGGTGCTCCCCCACATTTCCATAGCATTGTGAGAGGTTTGCTTAATCTGGTCCTTCCGCAACTATGAATTGGACGTGCTGCAGGTGAAGATGCCCCCCTTCTCCGGTGGCCACCCCGATCCCCGGACATAACTCCATGTGATTTCTTCTTGTGGGGGTACGTGAATGACATGGTTTATGTACCCCCATTGCCCCAATCGCTCCAGGATCTCCGAAACAGAATCAGTCGTGCTGTGGAGACCATCATACCTGAAATGCTGCAGCGGGTGTGGCAGGAATTCGACTATCGCATTGATGTGTGCCGGGTAACGAAAGGTGCGCACATAGAGGCACTTTGATGGATGTACATAAAATCTGGACAGTTAAGCTTCCGAGTAACACATGTTATGATTGTACAGGGTAAGAAATACGAAATATATACGTATCTGAAACCCCACCATTCTTTTAGGAACATGCTGTATAACATTATGCGCTGTATTCACTCTTTTAACAGTACGGGGCGAACAGTGACGATGTTTATGAACGACAAATCAGAGAGACTTCAAAGGAAATAGTAGTGACTTATTTTACGAACTGTCAGTACAGCAGATCGTGGTCAGTATTCAAGCTAGCAATCTCATAAATACAGAGAAATGGTAACTCAAAATACGTAACTCCAGTCGCTCAGATAGTCAAGACATTTCCAATATTTTGTGGAACCCGAAAGGTTCTCTACCATGTTCATAACAATTCACCATGTATCCTATCTGGATCAACTGAATCCAATCGACACCCTTCACAACCAGTTTCTGTTAAAACCGATTAGTAACACTCGCGTTCGAGTGGGTAGGGCTATTGCTTTGTGTTCCGAGGCCTGGAGGTCCTTTTAACTGAAACTTTCAGTGTCTTTTCTTAGTTCCCGCAAGCGAATGCTGAGTGTGCCTTGAAACAGATCCTTCCCAATTCATCATTCACGGTCGTCCTTATATTTGACGCTGTAAAACCTACACAGACGGAACAGCGCCGTTAAATACATTACGAAGAAATTCATTATCTTAAAATACAGACTTACTTCTAATATGAATTCGAAGGTGAGCTGTATATTTTCGTCACTCATACATAAACATAATAGGCTCAGCGCCATCTTAAGTATATAAAGTTGTAGTTATATCTCAGTAATTAGACAAAATTTTAGGTTGTTCGTTTGTGAACTACCGTCTCTAACAAGAACGCTTTTCATAATCGACACAATATGTAATTATTCGTTACTCTATCTAGGTCACATATTTCGACGACAGAGTGATGAATACTCACATACTGCGTTGACTGAGAAATTATCCTTTCGTCAGCAATCATAACACAGCAGGATACAATCATACAGAATCAATGAATGGATCCTACTTGTATTACGACGGTCCGAACCGGTAGAAGTCTATCAAGATGAACATTCTCACTTCCACCAACTTGAATGATTCCAGAAACAATCTGATAAGAGTAAACTGAACTCATACGAGACTCTAAAGTAGGCACACATGAAAGTTAGGGCGAGGGCACACCAGGGAAACTGGCAACCGCAACGCAACCGCAATTTCCGAGAATTGTTATCAGCCTGAGTTGTGCACATGTTACTGAATTGAGCAGCGCAACCTGAGCCAATTGCGTTGTCGTTTCCTCAATTTGCGCTGCTCCACTCAGTAACATGTGTTCAGCTCAGGCTGATAACAATTCTCGGAAATTGCGGTTGCGTTGCGGTTGCCAGCGCTGCTCCATTCAGTAACATGTGTTCAACTCAGGCTGATAAAAATTCTCGGAAATTACGGTTGCGCTGCGGTTGCCAGTTTCCTTGGTGTATCCTCGCCCTTAAAGTTTACGATGTGAGTCAGTTTCTGACAAAGTAAACGTTCAGTTCTTTGAGACAACTTCTAATTCAACATATTGCAAGCTTCAAGGTTTCCACTTCTGAATCCTGGGCTATACAGAGCGGAGACCTCTTGAAAAGCTAATGGTCGCTCAGCTGGTCAAGAACTTACCTACCTTCTATGAAACGAGACGAGAACCATGTTCAAAACAGCCTGCCACTATACCCTATCCTGAGCTAGTTCAAGCCAGTCCACATTACCAAACCTATTTCGATGAGATCGATTTGAATAGTCCTCTCATACACGGCTTTTCAGATTAAAACGACGTGTTCAGTTTTCACTTTCATGTTTTTTTTTACATGCCCCGCCTATCTCATCAGTCTTGATTTGATCAACCTAACAACAATTCTGTGAAGCGTAAACTTTATGAAGCCCTTCATTATGCAGTTTTCTCCTGGAAAACATAGGAACAGAAGATTACTACAGATAACTTCTAAAATGAGACAAAATAGTGGAAGTTTCAATAAAAGTATTTTATCGTCAGTTTCTATTATTCCACAATTCGATTTTTGAACGACGCGCAGTATAGTCACCAGTTCTTGTATCTGACTTCCGGCACTATCTAGGGCAATAACACAAATCACAGGCGTAAAGGCTTACTTATGTAGTAAAGTGCATCAAATTAGCAGTTATTTTAACCGAACCTTTTAAAGATAGTATTTAAAGATCTTCAGCTTTAACCTACTGTATCGTTACGATTGTATAACTTACTATAAAATCCTTGGCAATTGTAAGGCAGGCTTCTTTTGCTGTTCTGCCTCTGAAAATGCCCCCCCCCAAACGGCCGAAACATGTAAGACCATATAAATAATTGGATTAAAGATAAAAAAAAAGGCAACGCTATCCCTGTAGCAGGCCGTAGAGGCCTATAAGGTTGTGAGACGTCGAGGCTACATTTTCTAGACAATCGGTTCAGAGATAGCGGTGAGGTTGTCTGCCCTAACGAGCCGGTCGCCCTTTTCCCCCAGGAAGATTCCTGGTACTCATTTCTGTTAGAGGCTAAGTCAACCCCAAGGCCATTGGGGGTGTCTAGAAAATGTGGCAGCCTCGACGTCTCATAACCCTATGGGCCTCCACGGCCTGTTACAGAAATAAATAATTGGATTATGTACATTAACTACACTGGACGGTTTGTCGTTCCTAGATTAGCAGTTCCTTTCCTACGTGAAAGGACTGGAAGAAACCAGTGATGACAGGATTTTCAACAAGATTAGTCATAGGCCATACAAATTCATATAAGGATACAGCCGCATGTTAAGCACATTTCTAAGCCAGAGAACATTGAGAAAACGGCATACTGTAGTGAACGTGAAGAGTGCGGTCATCTGGGTTGTAACGCCATGCAGTTCGGAGACAGCCCGACGTTTCAGAGGAACTTCTTGCCTCCATTCTCAGCTCCGCTCATTTCAGCCTCCTTCTACTGG